GAGAACCAAATGATTTCATGACACTATTACGTTCTGTTCTTCTGGGTGTAAAGGTGTTTTTGAACGTATTTTCGAACGCATATTCTCCTAGTCTCATACTCAAACCACGCACTGACCCAGCTTGGAGAGGAAAGGTTGTCATTGTGACACAGCACAACACTGCTTTTAACCCATCACCATGCTCAGAGCTGCTCAACTTGGCAGCTGGTGGACTCGAACCTAAAGCCATCGGGACACAAGTCCGCTTCCTTAACCGCTAAGCCACCACTGCCCCACTGAGAAGGAGCTACATGCTGAATTATTTTTTTAAATAAAAGGCAATAACTATTCTCTCTAATCCAAAGATTTATTTAACATCGACATATTTGTTCTCCAAGTGTTCTGTCTCGCAGATGAAGCAATTTCAACCGGATGAGAAGGCCGTCACCTCTGTCTGAGCAGGGAAAGCAACCAAATCCCACACACTGAACATCCTGACAGGCATCCTGACCCCAGTAGCTGTCAACAGATAAAAAAATAATAAAATCCCAAACAACGTGGCGTTCACAGTTTGATGTTGGAGTGCACCAGGTAGGTTCTGCTGCTGCAGCTGACAACTTCACTGCAGGAAAACACAGGAGGATTTAGAACAGAAGCCCTCACTGTGGGAGTGGTACAGTATGATGGAGACAGCTCCAGGAGGAGGTAGGGGTACACGGTGATGATACGATACTATATGACTGCAGTAGCCTCCGAATACAGATCCGTTTACACGGATCCCGCGCAAAGAAAATCTGCATCTAAACAGAGTTGTAGGATATGACACCAGTCCCTGTAGAACATATGCCAGGCCTGTGTGTGGCGCTGTGTAACAGTCATGTTGTTCTATTCATGTTGTAATGAAGGGGTTAACTGTTTACAGGTATGGAGAAGGGGGAGGTGGGTGGTGAGAGCGAGCAGAGAGTGAGTGGTTCTGCTGAAAGTAACAATGGCGGGATTTACTGACAATGCCAACAATTTTCCAACATTCCAAAAAGATCCAGAAAGTTTTGGTGCAACCCTAGGCATCACCAACGCCTGTCCTGAATGGAGCCGCAACGTGGATCGGGAAAAAAAAATCGATACAAATGCGTGAAAGTTTGCATCGGTTGAAATTCAAAAAAATGAATCGTACATCAAGGTGTAAGGAGTAGGCTATGTTATCTCGAAAAGTCACTGGTCGTACCATGAGACTACACACTCTAGTACAGCAGGTGGCGGTGTGAGCGTAAAATCGTTGGTTGTGACTCGCTATTAAACTATTAAAAGTTCTTCCATAGACACAAACGGTGTTTTTTGCCTCAGAAGAAGAGGGCAGATAGTCCTGGGTTCAATTCCAAGGCAAACCACATATTTGGCGCCCCCAGGGGGCAGCCTGTTGCAGCGGATCTGCTGTTAGTAAAAGAAATTCCCAAGTGTGGGATCGATAAAGTTCAAATTATTATTATTATTATTTCTTACAAATATCATTGTATTTGGTCATAGTTTGCCTGGAGCTCATTTTGTTTGAATTTGAATTTGGGATTCATATTGTATCGTGAGTTTGAGTGTATTCTCCATCCGTAGTAGAGATCGGTCACAGCTACTGAACACACAAAGGCAGAGAATGAATCCGGGAAGCGAGAAGCCACAGTTATCTTTACTGATTGTCAACATGACAAAACAGCAGCAGACATAAGAACAGATCTGATCACTTTTGTTGTCCACAGCCTTTGATCAATGTTTTCCGTCACTGCTCTGATTCACTGAAGCTGTTTGACCCGATAACCGTGCGATTCACTGATCAAACTGCTGTGCAGTCATCAGATATCAGTCTGGGGAGCCAAACCTTCAAACGAGGGTGATGCTAAAATTACACTTCCTGTGGCGCAATGTTTTTGACAGTCTAATACAGTACATCTGCTTCAAATATAATACTTTTTAGAATTAAAAAAAAACATACTTAAACTCAAAACCAAGTCAACTATAACCAAGAGATTGTAATGAGGTTAGACCAGGCGTTACCAACGTGGTGTCCAGGGGTCACCTGGTAGCCCCCATGGACAACCTAAGGTACCTACGGAGTATGTTCTAAAAATTAAACTAGTCAACAAGAGGCTCAAAAATTTTACTGTTACTGTTCTTTTTGAATCAGTTCGACTAGTAAGGATATTTAAATGGGTGCAATGACGATGGTAAGAAGAGAGTGTACTATTGTATGTCCCAGAATTCTTATGACATTGTTCAGGAAGTCTTTATCAGACAAGTAGCTCTTCGTATTACTAAGTGTCCTTGAAGTAGCTCTCAGTTTCAGAACGTTCGGTGACCCCTGGGTTAGACTCTGAGCAAACTAAAGGTGAGGAGTTTATACAGATTAAAGTCTGCTTCACAATTTAAGGAAACGTGGATGGGAAAGAAATAAGGAAGGTGATCAGAAATAAGGAAGGTGAAAGAAATAAGGAAGGTGATCACAGTAAACAGCAACAACAGCTGCTGTAAAAACATTAAGAAAACATTAATTATATATATAAAAAAAAGTGTTGTTTGCTAAAAATAATGCCTCTGTGCCTGCACAAGAAAACCAGACATCGCAAAAATGGGGTCGGAAAAGACTTCTTTTTGATAGGTCCCCTAATGCAGTGATTCCCAACCATTCCCAGCCGTGAGAGCTCAAAAATCAGAGCTGTTGAAGAAGATCTTTCTTCAATTCCTGCCAGTATTCTAGCGTTGTCTTCAACTAAACAGGCCAAGATTTTAAGTCAATTATGAGGTCATTTAAACAAGAAGATTAATATATTTCATTACACATACTTTTTGTGTGATTCTTCTTTGGTGATGTGCCGTCAGGTTTTTCCGGATGATATATATGTGCCGTGGCTTAAAAAAAAGGTTGGGAAACACTGCCCTAATGGATACAAGACACACTAATATGTCCAAAAAAACCATTCAAAAGTTCATCCCAGTCCAACTTTTCTAATTTTTCATTCCATCCTGACAGAAGATCTGATGTTTCTCGGCTCCGGCATCGCAAATCAGGTTAGTCTCTGAATAAATCCCAGCATATGAACTGACAAACAAAGAGCAACAGAACATCTACAGATAATTTTCTTTTCTGGTATTTGTACTCTAGCTGGCCAAATTTGCACTTGTATTGTGTTCCTGACAAATGAGAACAGGAGGGTGAACCGAAGTGGAGGTGGCAGCTGTTTTGCAGCAGAGCAAAGAAATTACATTTGTCTGAATCCTCATCTGTTGTTGTTTCCTGTACTATATATTTATTCTGCCAAACTCCCTGTCAGTATGAGACGGCACACACACACACACAGAGGTGACTCTGAGGCTCAGCTCTGGTCCAGCGGCCCCAGGGCAGGTTTTCATCCTGTTGTCCCCTAAAGCCCCCTAAGCCCTGCAGCTAAGCCCGACTGCTCCCACCCATTCGTCCCTTTCTACTATCTATCCTTTCACACTTCCCTCATTTAATCCAAAGTTTTAATCACTCTGATCATTTACTGAAGCGCCCCCACCCCCCTCCGATCTTTTTTCATCTATCTCCTCACATCTCTGGCTCACCCAAGCCATCCGTGCGTTTCTTCCTCTCTTCAGCCCGTGTCTCATTTCCACCTCGGGGCTGTTCCTTCCTTCCTGCCACTTCACAGACAAGGCTTAGAGTCCAGTGACTGCAGCGGCGCCAGAATGTCAGACAGACATATATTAACATTTAGACCGGCTCGTGGCACCAAATGGGATCTAAACTTTTAAAGCGGTCACATCCTCTCGGGACATTTCGAGAAAGTTCCAACGGAGGTGCCAGGACACTGGTACCGACCTTCACAGGTGTTTTTTTTCTTTTCTTTATCCCCCCCCGTCACCCAACAAAATTGTTGTCAGACTGTGGACTCATCTTGATAAATCCAGGACATGCTGAACCTTCTCTGGTGGCTCTGGCAGTTTTATATAAAAAAAAAAAATGAAATGTTTTAACTGGCTGAGATTTCGCACCGGAATTCATCACAGGCATGTCTCTGAAGAAGAATGTCCACGGGTCTTTGGCAAAAACTCAATTTATCTTTGTGATTTGAGCAGTTTTTGAGATCCAAGAGGCAGTAGAGGACAGCAGGAGAAAAGTTATGCCAGGGCTGGGCTGGGCTGGGGTGGGGGGGTTTGTTCAAAGTACTACCAAAAATGTTTTTCCTCAAAAGGTCAGAGGACATTAGAGTCTCCTTGATGTCTCCTTCTACTCCCTGACGGTGATTATCATACATTAATGGGGGTAATTAATCGGGTTCTGATCATATTTATTAATAGGAACCCACAACTTGGTTGGAATGTATGGTTTGGGAACATGAATCACTGTTGTGAAAGGCCTATCGAAAATTTAAAAAAAAGAGATACAAACAGATCTTAGTTCATGATCATTTACACAATACGTGTCAAACTCAAGGCCCGGGGGCCAGATGCGGCCCGCCAACCCATTTTGTGTGGCCCGCGGGAGCTTAAAAATCATTTAATAAAGTCCATGGGCTGGTACCAAAGGACCTATGGACTGGTACTGGTCCGCGAACCGGGGGTTGGGGACCCCTTGATCTATACAGTGTTCCATTTAAAACCGGCCCTTCAACAGGAACTGTATTGCTGATGTGGCCCTGTTTGACAGCCCTGATTTACACCATCCACTGTAGTTGAATTATAGAACACAATACTGTTGCAGCCGTATTGAAGCACATTTTAGTAAATATGAAAAAAAAAAAAAATTATTTTTTGAAGCGTTCAGCTTTTTTTTTTTTCAGTGCTTAGAATAGGATACTCAAGTTCTGGAGAGAA